TTTGATTAATCTTCAGATGAGGTCTGCATATACTTGTGAGACCTTCAAAGTAAAACAGAGTAACATTTCTCCTCGCACTAGGCCTGTGTGAGCCTCTCACCAGGCCTCCTTCACCTAGCAGGAATAGCTGAGCTTTAAAAATAGATTTTTTCATTCCTTCTTCCCTGCTGATTCCAGAACCTGGCAGTCTCTACCAGACACCAAAGCAGCAAGCAATTTCCTTCTCAAATCCCTTCTGAATCCCTGTCTCCTGAGGCTGACTTTGCATTTCCAACTTACACTTGGACATTAGCATTTCCCATCTCCAATTTGCTCATTAAAAATTGAAAAACAAAGCTTTCCCAAGAGCAGTATTCCCCTTCAGCCTGTTCTTAAAAGTACAGGATTTCCTTTCTCTTTGCTCCTTTATTCTGTTGTCTTGCTGACTGCAATTTAAATAGTACAACTTGAGGCAAACCTGGGTAATGAGGCAGGGGTTTAAGAAACAGGGGAATGGTTAAGGAAAGTGGAAACTATCAAATTCACTGTTATCATGCCTGGGAGTCCTCAAAAACTCTGCTCCTTTCCTGAGCTGGACAAAGATCACTGCAAGAACCCCCTGGTTTGACACACACCTTGACCTCAAAAGGGAAGAAAATGGCCCAACGTTTCACTCACATCAAAATAGGGGAGCTAAGCTGAAATTAAAGCAGCTCTGAGACTCTACAGGCTTTCCATGCTCTCTCCTATGTTCTTCACAACACTATTTTTACATACCACCAAGTCCATCCTACCTATAGATTCAGTATATTTTCACTAATAAATTAAACAGAAGAGCAATGATGTGCTTTGATCCACATTATTAACAGATAAGAAACTCAACATTTTCAATGCAAATTTTTTTTTAATCCTTTTAGATAGTAAGTGTTGACAATTCTCTTATATAACACTTCTCTAAGACATCCCATGTCAAAATCAAAATCTCAGATCTCAGAACTTCAACTCTGTGATACTTAATTGCAATAAAGAGTGTAAAGCAGATTTTTCAATCAACACTAAAATGAAAAACTTGCATCTTCCAGGAAATAGGAGGAAAATGTAGTTGGTTTACTTCATTAAGACGCTCCTATAACAAGTTATTTTAGTTGTGGTAATCAAGCAATGAGAATTAAGCTTTCTTCTTTAAAATAAAGTAATCTTTAAAAAGGAAAAGCATACAGAAAGATTAAAATAGGCAAGGTAATTGAAAGTGTTTGGTTCTAAATTACATTACTAGATTAGTCTGGAGGCTTTTTTTTTTTTACTGTTGAGGCAGAAATAATATTACTCATTACTCATACTTCCCGTTATAAATGTATTTGTTCTCATTTAAAATCTAGTTCATAAATATTGAAAGCATAATGTAAAGTATTGCCATACAAGCTCACTGTTATAAGCCAGGAATAGGACAAGTTACCAATTCATTTATGGATAACAATATACTTACATAATTACACATAACATTAAAGATGTCATTATCATTCTAACAAGCCAGTTGCAATATCATTGGTTTGCATTGCCTTTCAGGAATTGAAATTTCTGCTAAACACAACTGTTTTTAAATAAAAAAGTCAGGAATCAAATAGTATCAGCCACTGACAATTGTGGTAGAAAGAGATGTGTACTCATCTTCAGAGATGTCTGTAAAAAGGTCTGAGATCCTGTCTGTAAAATTCTTAATTTCCCTTGGCAACATTGACCACATCAGTGCCACTTGCCATACAACCAGGGGATACGGGGAACTAAACTTATGTGAACAGCCTTCAGCAAATCCCTTTTTCAGTTTGGAAAACTGAAATGGCTTCCGTTTGGAAGCCATTACGATTTTAAATAGCATATGAAAAATGTATCAAAACTTCACATTTTTTTCAGGTTCTATTTAGCACACATCAGTACAATTAACTTCAAAAAAAAAAAAAAAAAAAAAACAAAAAACAAAGAAACCACACAACAACACAACATTTTCCATTCATACATGAAAGACAATACCAATCCTTCAAGTTTTGAACAGCTCATCCTTACAACTGCTCACATCATAGGCAGCAGTTCCTTTCAGCTTCCTTTTCAGCATGCTTGAATGACCAACAGTAATTACATAGAGCTGATATAAGAGTTACCAAAGCATAGAAAGAAATTATGCCCTACTGCTTATACTGAATTATTTTCAATTAAGTTCTTTTATTTGAAAGGAGCAAGCCTCCTTTCTTAACTTCCACAGAAATACGTAGCATTCCTTACAATACCAAAATGTTTCTTGTATGGACCATGAAATTTCCCAGCCATACAACTGTCACATATATTTTTAAAGATTGATTTGTCTTGCTTCCTGTTACTGTCAAGGTTAGAAAGTTCTGTCATGTTCACTTGTCTAACAAACTTCCACAAAAAAAGAAAAATTCTAGGTAGAGATACTCAGGGAATTTAATCACTGCCACGTTTCCTTTCGGAGGATATTCTGCTTGCAGCTTTTAACTTATTATTGTAATGCATTTTGCTCTGAAAAGTGCTACATGAAATTAAGTTTCATTCTACTCTTTCAGGCTGAAACTGAACACCTCCGATAACCTCAGACATTTCATCAGTATTAATTCCCAAATGAAACTGTCACCAAACTATCAACCCAAAGTTTCCATTTGCTGGATTAGTAACCATTGATCCCAAATTTAATTATGAGATCTAATTCAAAAGATTTTTATTATATTTGAAATGGCCAATAGTAATTAATGACAATAGTGCATGAGTTCCGTGATGTTCCTTTACAAAGTAAATCAAACTCAAGCCTCCAAGGTTTGTTCAGCCTGCCCTTCAAAAACGTCCACCACTCTGTAGCTTTAATTGCATAAGTATTCCTATTGATTTTTGTAGAAATCACACGTAATATTGAGTTAAGCCCTGTACAGAGGTTTTAAGAAGCATTACAGACATGGAGCTCAATAACATCAACTATATAGTTAGATTGCATAATTAACCAGCCAAAATTGGTAAATTTGAATGGGCAACCTTAATTCTTGTTTCTGCACATTCATACTGTGCACTGAATGAACAAAAAAAGAAAAAAGGTCTTAGCGATCATGCAATTAGAACTGTATCATGCACACAGTTTAAGATATCCTCAAGCATGAAGCATTATCTATCTGATCAGCCCATAGCTTCACATTACAGAATAATGAAAACAGTCTTTTTAAAGCAGTTCTGTCATCTCACAGAGTCGGAGTAAGCTACAACATGATTAAGATGTATTCCATAGGCTGGTTAGAGAGAACAAGACACCCTTCCCCTTATTCCTCAGCATCACCTTTCCAGACTCTGTCCACCAGCCAAAATAGCATAATAATAAAATACTACTTGAATCAGTTGCTTGAAACTGTTATCAAACAAAATCCTCTCACAGTTTTGATTTCTACCAAACACAAGGGAATAAAAAGGTGTAGCACCAGCAGTTTTGATCACAAAAGCACTCTGTTTAAAAGTAAATATCTAAGTGAATTCAAAAGAACTGCTGCTGCATGAGATTCAGTCTGTGCCCATGCTTACTAAGGGTGGCAACCTGATATAACACATGGTTGAGAGCTAGAGTTTATAAACACTACTACTGCATGAAAAATCCAGAAATTTGATATTAGTATTATATGCAAAAATATCTACTTTAGGGATAAAAATAATATTCTACATACCTAATTTCTCAGCCATTTCTGACTAAAACAGCTAAATACAGCCAAAGAGAAAAAGAACTGTATGAACTTGCGTTCATGTCTGCAAGTAATTCTACACTGACTGTTAAATGAAATTAGATACCAAAGCTTTTCCTACGCTAATACAGTTTATAAGTTAGGGACAGAGGAATCATGTTTTAAGAAAAAGTATTAGATTTGCATCATACACGAGGAAAACATATGTAATGCATGCAACTGCTCAGTAGGCTCCTGTAAATGAATACCCTCATTTCTAAAATGTAGCATTTCTATGCAAATAGACAGGGTAATCAGCTTCTTCAGACAAGAAGTCGTGGACTATCATGTAATGATTAAGGCATGCTCTCAAGAAACACAAAAAAAATCTCATCTGCCTTAAGTAGGGACATAGTAACAGTAAGTAGGCAATTTCCCATTTCTAAAACTAAACGAGTAATCACTGTGTGTTATAAATGCAAAGCCTTACTGACTGCAACACAATAACAGATATTATGCTGAAAATTCAACCTTCTCTCAACTCATTTGTTTCTTTTAAATTACATGTTGTTGGACCCTTCTGTGAAAACTGGGAGGTTAATTGTGATAGAACATTGCATAACTCCAAAGCCAAATGCTGAAGTACTTCTACATAAATACCGTATGTTTGTCTCAGGGAAAGTGAAACGATTAATTAGGAGTTGAAGCCCAAGACTTTGGAAAGTAATTCTCTGAACACAATTAGATCGTTACACTGTATACTGTGAAAACTGAGGTTTTAATTAGTAGCTAAACCATGAGCTATGGCAAAAATAACAGTAATCTGAAATTCTGAATTGTGTGTCAGATTTTGTTTTTTTAACTGACATTGTTTATAACAAGACATTACACAGAAGCCAGTCACAACAAAAGCCATTTAAATTTGTCACACTCTTCTGATGAAGGAACTACCTGTTAAGAATTTTGTTTTTCTTCTTACCTATACTATCCTCATCTACTTTAAAATTAACTGTATTATATTAATCAAGTAAATGCTCTAACATTCCTAGTTACAAGCATAACTAGGAAGCAAAATAATGAACCAGTTTGGAAAGTCCTTACAGAGCCTATAAGCCACATCTCCAGCTCTGACTCTGGTCTAGCCCACCCCACCCTCTGTTTCAGCACACTTCATTATAAAACATAATCTTCTTTAATCTCCACTCTATTTTGGAGTTATTTTGGCCCAATTCATGGATCACTGACAGCAAATAGCTTTTCCATAGTAGTCAATGCATTCTGAAATGTACTGAGAACGTTAATAACTCTACTCACCACATATTCAAAAACGAGTGTTAAAGTCTCCTTTGTGTGAATGATGTCATGAAGCAGTACAATGTTTGCATGTTTCAGTCCTTTCAAAAGAGAAGCTGAAAAGGAAAACATACATGTTATTTAAAAAGAATCAAAATATTTCACTTTGACTGGCCTATTTTTTTTAGTGACTCAGATGATTATTTGACATCTTGAACTTCACAACCTGATAACCAAGAGTTGTACTTCAGCATCCTTTAACTCTATGGACTTCAGTGCAGCTGAAGACCATGTGTTCCTATCCAGTGCGGGGCAGCAGCATGACGGCTAGAGGAGGCTTAGCAGCCTCCTGCAGGTGAATCAATCATTAACTTTGAGATAGTAACTTCTAGAGAGAGTAGACTGGGAATTTCTAGAGAGAGTCCAGTAAGATGATGAGGGGCCTGGAACATCTCCCTCATGAGAAAAGGATGAGCAAACTGGAACTGTTCAGCCTGGAAGAGATTGAAGGGTGATCTTACCAATGCTTATAAATATCTAAAGGGCAGGAGCCAAGTGCATAGGTCTAGGCTCTTTTTGGTGGTGCTCAGTAGAGACAGGATAAGGGGCAAGAGGCAAAAACTGAAATGCAGGGATTTTCATCTAAACTTAAGAAAAAAAATCTTTACTTTGTGGGTGACAGAGCACTGGAACAGGGTGCCCGGAGTGGTTGTGGAATTATTTTCTCTGGAGATGCTGAAAACCCACCTGGATGCTTCTCTGTTAGATCTGCTGTAGGGAACCTGCTTTAGCAGTGGGTTGGACTTGATGGTCTCCAGAGGTCCCTTCCAACCCCTATGATTCTGTGATCCTGATTAAACACCAAGTTTTGCTTCAAAAGAACACGTTTTTGTCTGAGCCTGGGAGGGTTTCGTGTTTTTTTCTTCAACGTTCCAACACAACAAATTTCCAACCAAATTCTAAATCTCTCATATGAATGATATTTTAAGCTGTAATTGCCCTTTAATTCACTCAAAGAAATGAGAATAGAAAAATGGTGTTGTCACCAAATACTTTTTCTTTAACAGAACCAGTTCATGTTTTCAGACTAGTGACAAATAAAGATTTGGTGAACTTCTAGGTGATCGCCCTCACTAAATTTATTTTCCTTCAGAATGCATATTTTATGTTTATACCACAATACATTTTAAATATTCCACAAGTATGGCATATTTCAGCAATACGTGCTGACAAGCCATGCGTTGTTACCAAAGTCATGCTGTTTTGTCACCTCATGCATTCATCTGAACAGGCCTATCAGTCACTACAACAAAGTAAATAATAGATACAAAGACATGCAAATGAGTGGCATAGTTCAGTAGTGAATAACAGGGAACTTCTTTCTCTCATCCTTCTTCTGTCATAGAAAATAACAAATCACCAAATGACACTGTCAATTTCTAAGCCAGCATGCGTCCCTCTCCACTGCTGTGTAAAATGGAAGTTAAGGAGCCCACAACACAATTACCCTTTGCTCTCCTATCGAAAGTTCTCCATTAGACTGAGGTAACTCCAGGGGTTATCTGGCTCTATATTGGGGTAAGTACAAATCACAGCTCATAATGGTCTTTAAGAGATCCAACAAGCTGATGCCATTCAAGGAAGAAACACAATAGCAACACAGCATTTGGAAGGATCAATGCTGTCCTGCAAGTATCCTCAGCAGCAAAACCCCAGATCTTAGTAAAGGGGAAAAAAGCATACAACGGCTTCAAAGCAAGTCCACAGATAGCCTGTTCCTGAACCTGCAAGTAAGCTCTATGACCAGGAATGTGGCAGCATTCCATCTTGAGTGAGGAGGTGAGAAACGATGCCTCCAGTGAGCTGATTCAGCTTGTGCAAAACAGCTCATGGCACAGAGAGTCCCGTGCACTGAATACAATGCTACTGAGCAGTAAATTCGCTATTACGATTAATAAGCACTTGATCAATGCATCTCTAGTCCTGATTAGCACTGCACAAATAGAGTGGAAGTTTTCTTCTTCTGAAAGGAAAAGCCATGTACAATTTTTCACAGGAGACTTTCTTGGAGTAAATTTTCAAAGGAAACAGCGAAAAAATGCTACTGAAAGAGAGAAAGGCACAAACAACAGACAATTAGAACAAATATTCCAAAGGAATATTCTATGAGAGGTATTTCTACCACTTGCAGTAATTGAGCTTTTTCCAGTGCTACTGCCAAATAGCCACACATGCAGAGAGATTGGGAACATAAAAAAATCTATGTCCTGGCAGAGCCTCTGTCAAACCATAATAGTATTTATGACCTCTGTCAGCTTTTGCTGTTCAGCCCATCACTTGAGGCCTCTAAATCCTCTGGTTGGCCATTACTATGTTACTAAAATCTGTATATGGGTCATTAAAGCTTAAACAGTACATTGAAAGCAGCTTACCCTGAGGTCTTTGCAAATATTCTTTCCTCTTTGGTCCCCTCCCCCTCTTATTTATCTTCTCTAATATCCAATTCTCTCCTTTTACAGTCTCAGTATTCAGTATCCGCTATATATGACAAGAACCACAAAGAATCACTTGCAGCTTGAGATTGTTGACTTCTCCCCTGGTCCAATTGAAATATAGTAAATAATATGGCACAGAAAGTAAAATCATCTTAATTAAGCTAATTTTACATCATGGAAGCAAGAGGAAATTGCACTATCAATTTCAATTGCAACAAATCAAGTGCAACTAACAGAATTAACCCTTGGGTTTGCCTATCAGTACTGTGATTCTATTACTGATAGGATCACCAGTTCTTTGTGGAAATGTTACCTTGCTATAATGAGAAAAAAAAAAAAAAAAAGAACACAGAAAAAGAAAAACAAAAAAAAGAAAAAGAAATAAAAATAAACAGAAAAAAAGAAAATAGACCTGTCTGAGGTAGGAAAGCTGTTTCTTTTTCCATAAAGCACTTTAAAAACAAAATGAAATGTGAACTGATGGTACTTGGGTGCTTTTTTCAGAAACAGTCCCTTTGAGAACAAATGACCAACACACCTACTCAGCTGAGCACCTTTTTGCTTGAAGGGGATGGAACTTTGGATGAACTCCACTTATTCAAAGACAAAACCCAGAAAGTCACATGCAAGAGAACGAAAAGCAGAGTCCGGGGAATTCATCAGCATCACTCTGAGGCAAATTTGACTTCAACTTTGAAGCTACCAAAACAGCTGCTGCTGGAGCTCCATGAGACACCAGGTGATCCTGTGTCTGATGTTACTACGTGAACAAAACATTGTCTTCGAATGCCAACTCAGTCCAGTGGTTATCACCCACAGATCTCACACAAAGATGTTTTCTTTTAAAATAAAAGGACAAAAAATTGGTGAAGAAGATTACAACAAATCAGGCGTGGGAAAAACATACTAATTTATCCTTAGTACATATTTTTAAAAAAAAAATTGTATAGCGCTGCTTCAATGCTGCTTTCTTTTTTCATCCTCTGTATTCTACATAAGATAAACAGATGGCAGCATTTTTAATTCATTTCCCCAAAGAGTTTTGAAGAAGCACAGTAGCACATGATGCTAAAATGCTTTTTTAGAACACTTTGGACAAAATATCATATGCACCTGAGTGGACAGGTGCTTTTTCTGTCACATGTGTTTACACGTTCTCTTACAACAAATTCTAGCATTAAAAAACAGGGCAGAGAAATTAGTGTCATACTTCAATAATTAATGACGTCCAAAATGATCATTTGAGTGACTTGTACAGAAGTTCATGACTTGAACTAAAAGTAATGACACACTTATCCATCAAGGACTAATAACATATTTGCATACCTAAAGGAAACACATTGTATTTGCCTGAATAACCATCACAGATTTCTCCTCCGACAAGGAGATGCTCTCATCTGTTATGAACTCCTGGCAATCTGCTTTATTGCTTGTGGTGGTCAAGAAGCTTTTTGCTGATCCCAAAGGAGCTGGGCTCTAAAGTATGCTCCCTCCATGAGCAAGTCAATCCAGATGGACAGCAGCCAACTCCTACCCAAAACATGAGCAGCATTAGTAAATCAGTGCCTTGCTCCCTGCAGGGTTTACAGCATCAGCTCAAGCCTGGCACTCCACTAACACAGCCAGACCAACACTGACTTACATCCAGAATGTTTTGGAAAGCAAGCAGGATCCAAACAGTCCTCTGAAAAAGGCTATTCCATGCTCATGATGTCACATTTCAAAGCTGCTTTTCACAATCAACAAAAGTAACTACTGTTATCAACTCCCAGGCCTCACATAGGAAGAACGTTTTACTAGCAGCACTATCAAAAATGGTATCTTCTGACATGGGGAGCACAGTCAGCCTCAACATTAGTTGCGGAGCTTGGATCATCTGATCACAATTTGTTCATTCTTGCAATTCCTGGCTATCATCCTGTTCTTGCTTTGTGAAAAATCATAAGTCTCCACAGTGGCCCTAGATAAAAGAATCTCTGATGATTTCTAAATTGCCTGGTATTGCAGCAGCCTTGAAACTGTTCTCAGCAGTAACAAAACATCTCAGCCCTCATGCTGCTCGAATTTACCATAATGTACAACTGCTACTGCTCCTCTCACAGATTACATTCTGTATGCAAAGGCCCCAGCCTACTCCCACCCTCCTTCCAAAAAGTGACTGTGACAATGCTGCTTTTCTCAGTGTATAGTAATTGTGGTACCCTCTGAGGCCACGCACCAGTGCTCACCATCTCAGCAGCTTGCACACTGCTCCTCACAAGTGTTGTCCTTTTTCACTAATGTCACCATTACTCTCCTAATATTAGGAGAGTTTTATTCTTCAAGACAGCATGTTGTAGCAGTTTGTGCCTATTTCATATCGTTAACATAGCATCTTGGCTGCACTGTTTAATTTCTGAGACACTGAATCATGCAGATTGTAGTCAGTATCACAGATTTGGGAAAGCAAGTGATTTGCTCTATTTCAGAGCCAAACAACATATCTGCAAAATTCTGTGGCTTGTCACATTCTGCAGACACAAAGACACTCTCTGACAGAGTGCCAACTTCTCATAAGCAGTTGGGTTCAGTCTCTTAATTCTGATATCTCTTGGAAAGATGCTTTTAGTGAGAAAACTTTC